CCTAACTATTCTATGATTCTATGATTATCATACATAACTGTGCAGCAGTCCACAAAGGAGTTCTGGTCTGTAGTTCTGACCCAATGGTCAGTTTAAAAGCCAGACCTATAAGGGATCTTAGGGTGAGCAAGGAGAAGCAGCAGTCCCACATCTAGTTCCTACCTGCACTTCAGGAAGGTGATAAGAAACAAGATTTAATCTAGGTCTTGTTCTTTAAAAATATTATCATGGTAAAACATCATTGCTTAAGTTTTTTTGCTTTGTATTTTCCCTCAAAGATTAATTATTAAGTGAAATCTTAATCTTGCCCTTGACGAGGAATTCCACATTCCACTAATTTAGAAAGTCTACTGAAAATATGTACTCACCACCATTTTATCAGCATGAAATGTCCTTTGATAGCAGACACCCGACTGGGTTACTACAATGCCTTGACCATGTTTGTGATCGTCGAGCCATGTCCCTATGTGTCTCTCTCCTCTGGAAGGCAATGGAAAACAAAATTCCATTGTATTTCCCCCTGTTTTCTTAGATCTTAAGTCATTTTCATGTTTAACTTACTGATAGTAGTTTTGCCTGATACAATGGTCCATGCAGCACAAGGTCGGACGTACTGTACAAACTCAATTCATATAATGTTCTCCCAAGAGCTGAAGCCTTATAGCAAAGGCTGAACAATCAACCCTTCATCCCCAAAGTCTCCTCATCAAAACATGAAGTTTTACCCCTGCCAATAGAGGGAAAAAACTGCCAGGCACCTAAAGCCTGCTCTGATCCATACCACCTTTACCTATCTTTGTCTTCCCAGACTCCATATCCATTCTTCTTGTCATTTTCCCATTGTCCTGTGTACTTAAATGGATGCTCAGCCGAGAAGTTTTCCAGTATCCCAAACCCTTGACGCACGTTGTCTTTGAAGTAACCTTTGTAGACCATATCATTCCCATACCTGCATAGAGACAGGACAGACAGAAGTTAAGACAGTGACTGTTTGGTAGCTACTACTGGGGTAGGAAGCCAGGAAAGTGAATAGATTAGGCTTATCTGGCTGCTAAATATTTTAAATATTTGACTGACAACTCTGGAGCTGGTAGTTGTTTACTATTAGGAATGTGCATCACCCAAGCTAACCACTCCAGAGTAACATTATCCAAGGACAAAACACTTAGGCTTCCAGTTGTCTGGGAGAGGCCACTCAGCCCTTGACCTCTCACCAGACATGTTGCAGTGATCACTGGTTAATCCAGGGTTGGAGCAGATCAGATCAACAAGGGCATGTATCTGATAGGACAAGGGGAAATAGCTTTAAGATGAAAGAGGAGAGATTTAGATGTGATATGATGTTCTTCACTATGAGGGTGGTGACACATTGGAACAGGTTGCCTAAAGAAGTTGTGGATGCCCCGGCCCTGCAAGCAGGAATCCCTTGATTCTACAATCAAGTGGGAAGACAGATTTACCTTCCCCTTTTTTTGCTTGCCAACCACCCCTTTTCCTGGGTTCATTCCCCTGAGAAGAGCTCCCCTTAGCCCTGTCCATGCTGGCCAGCAGATCTTCACTGCTACAACTGCAAAAACATGCCAAGCAGAGCTGTGGTGTAATTATGAACATGGTCTCACATTTGACACCAGAGATACTAGCACAATGCTGCTCAGTTGGCTCCAAGTTCCCTACAGATTTCTGCATGTCCTCTACTCTGAGTTTGATTCATAAATAAGTAGCAGAACACGCAGGTTGTAGGAAGGAAGATGGCCTATTCCACAGTAAGCAGCTGGAAAGCTGGGCTGTGTGCTTTCCTCTGTCACACTCGGTGCAGTGAAAGCAGGCGTAAGAACATGCAGCAACAGCAGGTAGACCAGCTTTCACACTGGCCAACCCATTTGGCAACAAGCCATATGTGACCTAAGCAAAGACAAGGATCCTGTTGTGCTCACTGCTAGATAAACAAAGCAAGCTGGCCTTGTCTACTTAACCCTAGGCCGCAAATGAAGTTGGTTTATACCTACAACCTGGGCAGGCTTCCACCGCCACTTCTAGCTTTCTAAATGGAAGGTAGATGCTGGGTAAGTCTGAGACACCACCATGTGCCCACAATACAAACCAAGCTCCATCCAAATTCTCAGCAGCACTTTGAAATACAAATGACTGTTTCCAGAAGCATTTTGATGAGTAAATAAGAAAACCTCAGACTCCATTTGTTAAGTTAAGCTCTGAGTTTAAGCTCAGAATTTGAGTGAGCCAACTGAAGGAACCAGCACCATTTAGCAATTCAGGATAACAGTTATGACTCCCAAACCAACAACCCCATCCAACATTAAGGAACCTACTCTACACAAAATTTAGTTCAGGCAGCATGGCCAGGGGACACAGAGTGAGCTGTGTGCTCCATCAAGTCTGTCCAGGGCTGATGGCATACCATGCTCTCCCTACTCTGCAATCGCAAGCATCAATACAAAACTATATCCTCACCTACAGAGCACAGAGGATGCCACGTCAGGTAGTTACAACAGTCACAGCTTGCAGAGAAGCTCTTGCTATTCTGATGTCCAGGAAACTCAGGGCCTGTGAAGAAGCCATACTGCCCATCGCCAAAGCAAAATCTTCTGGCACCTGAATTACCCTGGGTTTTACACTGTGACTGAGACTTCCACAGTGAGGTGAGAACATTTCACCCTTAAAACACTTTTTGCCCAGATTCTGTCTTTGGGTTTTACTTACTCACAGATTCCATAGCCTCTCATCTTGCCCTTGTACCAGTGACACTTGTAACAGTCATACCGGTCTTCAGATCGGCGTGGGACAAGGCATATTCCAAACCTACAAGATGCATATGGCAGAGGTCAGCATGTCAAAAGACAGGTCTGTTGTACTGGATGAAGGTTAAAAACTAAGGACTTTCCAGACTCCCAAGATGATTTACATGGTTGGGATCAGCTCTACCTCTGACGCTATTTCCAGGCGTCAATGGACTTGATCCAAGGAAAAGCTCATCTCCTTGAGAGCTGTAGTCAGTTTCTTATAGCTTCTTCTACAGAGCCACTTTCTGTGTTACTGGTTTTTCCCCCTCTTTACCCCTTCCCCAGTTTCGGGGCTGAGTTAGACTACCAAAGCAATTGCTTTGGTCCAAACAAAATGTTTTCTTAATCCTGACACAAAGTATTTGGACTTTTCCCTTTAAAAGCCTAACCTATCCTGAACTCATGTGGAAATGAGAAATTTAAGTCTTACTTTCAAAAAATTTTAGAAAAATAATATTGGGATTTCATAGTACATTTTCTTTACCACAAACACTGTTCATTTAAAAGAGATTTTTAAAGATAGCTAAAAATAGATTTTTCAAGGCATTTCATATGAATAAATTCACCTAGATTTAGAGATCAGGGGTCAGATACATCCAGCTGAATGGAAATATCTGCATCTGAATTGGTCATCTTCCCACAATTCTTCTACTGTGGTCACTGACAATGTTCTCACCTTAGGTTAAGCCACGTGTCTAGAATAGGACAGATGAACTGGTCTGTAACAGCAAACAGAGTCCCCCTACAAGACACCAGTGTCCCTGTACCTCTGGGAGGAACCATTTCTCAGCCTATTTTGGAAGAAACTCCATTTTTCAAGGCTTACCCATGCTCCAAGCCCTCTTTGAAATCTCCAACATGGTTGCGTCCATCACGCCACTTCAGTGTCCCCCTGCAATTCAAAGCAAGTGTTATGCAGGGGACATTACCAGCAACATTCACAGCTGCAACAGAAGGTATCAAGGCACAACCTCAGTATGGCTAAATCAAAATACTTCCTTAGGGGACAGAGACACTGAATTTCTCCAGGCACCTCTGGGACTTTGGTTTGCACTGTAAGGATTTAATACCATAATGTTTTCATGCCCTAGGATGAGTGGAGAGAATCCTCTTCCATGTTCTCTAATCTCTAATCTCAAAAGTATTTTGTAGAGTTGCTGGGTCATCCATTTAGGACCTTGCACATGATCCTTTTGTAATTGTAGTGCAGCTGAAGTTCCAACATGGCACATCTTTAGACAACATAATGACAGCACAGTCCAGAACTTTGTTGTACCAAGTGCTATGAAAACATAAGAGACAAGCACTGGCCTGAAAGCATTCTTTCTTTCCATCTGTTTTGCGTGTGGGGTTGTACGAATGACTACATGATGTAACAATGCAAAATGAGAATGGAACAGTCAATGTGATGGCCAAATTACCTCCCTTCCCATCTCCCACTCCACCCACACCCACTCACTGTTTTAATTCTCGCATCACCCCAGACACAATCAGCTCCCTACACATTCCCCACACAGAGACTACAGAAGATGGTGCGGTACCTAATCCATGACACATTTGTTTGACTATCACCGAGGCTGTTGCTTTAAGAACACCCACATGAGACTGGCTTTTTCTGGTATTTAAAAGGAAGGGGTCAGATTAATTTAAAATGGATTTTTAATATACCTCCTTTAGTTTTGCTAGTATGAACACTAACAAAGCCAGAGAGAATGCCTGCTCCAGCCACGGGCATGGTTTAAGCTCCTTCTCATTGTGAGTACCTCCCTCCTCCACACCAGGTCATACGGAGTTCTGGACCAGAACAGTGAAAATGCTGATGTTTTTGTTTAAGAGCCCTGATTCACACCGCTGCAGCTTTCTGCTTATGTGCTTTGCCATGGCAACCTCTCGTTGGAGATGGACAAGCCATCAAGGCCAGCTTTGCTGCTTTGTCACCTTGTATTAGTAGCAAGTCACCTAGAAGAGTAATTTCAGGAGTGGAAAAGAAAGCTTAGAAATTAATCAATTAAAACCTCAGGTATTAAAAGCACCTGAAATCACTTAATTCTGTCACAGATTTGCTGGGATGCCTCAGTCAAGTGATTTAATCTGAAGCAGCAGAGGTATTTATTAATCCCATTTCTCCAACCCTAAAACAGGAGGACACAAAGAGCTAGGAGAAGTGCTTGTCCCCTGGTGTCTGCACACAGTGGTTTTCAGATCTCTAATAGGAGTGCAGGTGCTGGGGAAGTCCTGTAAAGGACTGACTCAGGTATAGCTCTCCTCTGAACACCTATTTGATGCTATTCTGGGGCAAGGCACAATCTCTTCCATAGAAGACTAAGGATTAAGCTTTTGATTTGGGATATTCTAATTATTTTAAATCTCTTTCAAACCAAGTCACTACACCATTTTTGCTGTAAACAAACCGTGTAAAACTCAGGAAGTATAAATCTTCCAAACCAGGATGTTTTCATGTCTGAGGAGGTTGGTTATATTTCATGTGTCTTCACAAAAAACAGAGACTGTGCACTATCCTATAGCAAAAAGATTTTGGTTGGGAAGATTTAACCTTGATTTACACACCATTCTCTTTTGGCACAGTTCGCTGTTAAACTTCAGTTGGATTTAGTGAGCAGTTCTCATGTTCTCCAAAAAAATGCATTTGAGCCTTTTTTGTTTGTTTGTTTAATTCCACTGATAATAATTTGGATGTTTCTAAAAATAGATTTTGATAGCACAAGATAAAAAAAGTTGTCTCATTCACAAATAATGGCTTTTTATTGGGGTTTTGGTTTTGTTTTTGGTTGTCGTGATGATGTTAAGATTTTATGCCTCAGGCTGAGATCTTGAAAATAAACATTAGCTCAAGTCTAAGTCCTAATTACAGGCATAAGCCAATGCAGTGCCTTCCATGTGACCATTACCACATTATTAGGGGCAGTCTTTAGAATTTACTGCATGAACCAGTATCACTAATGAGACATCTACAATACAATAGATCACGTGTCAGGACTCGTGCTTTGACTAAGTCCTGAAATCAAGCAAATGTGTCTCAAATGCCCCCTGAATCTGTCCTCAGTACCAGATTTTCCTCTGGAAACAAGTAAGGCAGGAACCAGAGAGGCTGGCATGCCCTGGGAGATCATCAGTCCAGAGTCTGTGGTTCAGCTCCTCAGCATGGGATGCACCACCTCATGTCCACAGGCATTCTGTGACATCTATGCCTCTACCTGTGCAAACACTAGATCCAGGCAGTGCTACACAAAGACAGACTGTTCTTGCAGGTTCGTGTTTAGGGAAGGGGCAAAAAAGGCTCCTTACTTGCCATGCGGCTTTCCCCAGTGCCACTCGCCCTCATAGGATGCACTCTTGAACTTGCCCTCCAGCTTGAAGACATAGGTGAAGAAGCGGCAGGATGGGGGCTCGGTGCCTTCACCAGTCTTGCCCCACAACGGGAAATCTCGCTTCCCATTCAGTGCCTGGCGGACAGCCTGGTTCAGCTTCCATTGCCAAACAGCCTGGGGGCACAGGAAGAGGAATGCTGGACTAAGAAATTAAGAAAGTGTAATAGCTCCCAACAAGAGATACATCAGGAGAAGCTACAAGAAGCTGTTCAGCTCCCATTGATTCTGTGCCATTCAGCTGGCTCGGCTGGTGAGTTATGGTCCATCTACAGCATCAATAGGAGGTGTTACTTTGGATTCTGCAAGTTGGATACTGCACCAATGCACAACACTTCCATGTCACTTAAGCCTTACTCTCAGCACCACTAATTGGCTTTGGCACAGGACCATACTGATGGGACTGTAGCATATACTACTGCCCAGGGCAGACCACTTCCAGCACCTGGGTATTTTTCATCTACCATCAACTGTCTAGGCCACTTCTGGCCATCTAATACAGTACTGGCTCAACAGAGGGGAACAAACCCTGAACCAACAACAAACCATCAAACTCCACACTGCTTGTTATTCTGCTTTAAATAATAAATTAAAAGAAAAAAAAATAAAAAAAAGAAAATCAAAGAGGAACGACCTCAGTTCATTTAAGCAGGTACAGAGCCCACTAATCTCTCTTCTGATCAGGAAGCTAAAATCCTGATGCTTAAAGGGATTTCAACTTCCACTCACTAGTCACCTCCATTACAGAGCTGCCATCCCCTCTGTGCTATTTCTCTATTTCAAAACTTGGTGCACCATATTTCAGGTGGAACAGAAACACTCTGCCCACTGCTAACCTTCATTTGCGGGTCTTTAGCAGAGAGAAAGAATGTTTCTTCTGGGGTTACAATGCGGAGTCCATACCTGTGAAGAAAAAGACATTACAGACCACCACATTACAGTTAAACAGCAGTTCCTGCTTTTCCCATTCCTCTTTAGGAACTAGTAGTTCTTTTGCAGCGAGTTTTTCCTTCTCAAGAAGTTGACTCATCGGGTTAACTCATTTTTGTTCTCTAGGCCCGGAGACAAACCAATTTGATTATTGATTTCAATATGTCAGCAAAGGCAAGCAATGCAAATCCAAGCTGCTGTAATCCCATCTGAGAGGTGCTGCAACTGCCTATAGCCCAGAACCAATCCAACTGAGTAGAAAGGAGATGGGACAAAGTTTTGAATAATAAATATGAATTTGAATAAAGTTTTCTTAGTTTCACAATCAAGTTGAACACCCTTTTTTTTTTCCTTTTTTTTTTTTTTTTAATATCCAAGTGGAAATTTTTCACTTACAGTCCTGGAGCTGATTTATTCCTGCAGTTTTCATCTACCCACACAAGCTTCAGATCAAAACTCTGAAAGCTGTTTCCCTGGAACAAAAGGGAGAAGATGTTCCAATTATTGATGTAAACATCACACTTTGCCCCATTGAACAGCAGAGCAAGACTAGCAGAACTGTAAATTCCCTCTTTTGAGGTCCAAACATCTATCCCACACTACAACAGACCTTAGAGGCTGAAGAATGTGGAAGAAATGTGTGAAGAAATGTTCAGCATTTTTAAGTGGTGTTCCATAACGCCATGGCTACAACTAACAGTAGCAGACCTTCTTGGATTGCACTTATCTCTACAGGAGTTTCTTCCTTATCACATGTCAGCACTCCCAAACCACCACTGGCACAGAGCATGCCCTAGTTTTGCTTATGATCTATCTAGGATTTGGACTCCAGATGGCATAGCCGTCAGTGGCCCACATGTACATTTAAGAAGCCACTATTTTGATCAATAGTACACCACAAAGAAGAAGTTAAAATGATCGAAATGCTATTACATGTCTCTTCTCTGTCTAAAGTCCACATGCCTACACTACAGAGCTGCTGTCTGTAAGGATGTACTTGGCTAAGGTTATGTACTAGACCTTATAGCAGCCTTCCAGTACCTAAAAGGGGCCTACAAGAAAGCTGGAGAGGGACTTTCTAAAAGTACATGCAGTGACAGGACAAGGCAAAATGGCTTTAAACTGACGGAGGGGAGATTTAGATAAGATCTGAGGAAGAAGTTCTTCCCTGTGAGGGTGATAAAGCACAGGCACAGGTTGCCCAGAGAAGCTGTGGCTGCCCCATCCCTGGCAGTGTTCAAGGCCAGGCTGGATGAGGGTTTGAGGAACCTGGATGAGGCTTTGAGAAACCTGGTCTAGTGGAAGGTGTCCCTGCCTGTGGCAACAGGAGGTGCAACTGAATGATCTTTAAGGTCCCTTACAACCCAAATCATTCTATGATTCTAGGACTATCACTATTGAATTCACCACAGTTAATCACTGATGTATGTAGCAGATTTGGGGGATCAGAGAAGGGGGGGAGGTTCAGATTCCCAGCACCAGAACCCTCATCAGCAGAACCCTGCTACCAGCCCAAGCTAACCAGTTTAATCCCAGCCCAGTTATATCTCCCCAAGCTTCGATAACAGTCATAGCAGCAGATGGGACATAGCGGGTGAGAAACATTGACTGAACAGAGACGTCTACAATGTAAGTATCTCTGTGTGAGCTAGTTACCCTGTGCTCTCTTCCTAGTCAACGGAGTTGAGGACGTGATTCAACTCATCCTAATTTTGGCATCTGAAATAGGTCAGATAAACCACACCCAGGCAGTGCATGTTTCTCTCCCCTGACTATAAAGGGAGCTTGGGGGCACTTGCTCAGAGTGAGTTCATGACTGTGCTTAGAAATCTACTATGTAAAGCTGGATGAGATAATCACCACCCTATTTCCTCAGGCCTAGATTCTGCAAGCTGAGTAGGACTGCCCAGCGTTATCACAAAGGCTTATATTTAGAGGAGCCCATAAGATGTATCAGTTCACAGGCAGTCGTGTTTGGACACCCAAGGCACTGGCACATGACTAAAGAGCAAGCAGAGAGAGGTGCACATGAAAAGAGCCCTGCTAGATTACAGGGGCTGTCAGTCAGAGCAAGCCAAGCTGGACTTAGTTAACATGCTGCAGAACAGCTTTGAACACACGTTATTCATCTAGCTATCCATGGCTGTAGACACTCCCTGTCTGCCTCACACCCAGGCCCCAAATCCCTGAAATAGCCCCAAGAACACCTGCAAGTTCTGCTCCCATGCCACTAAGTAGAGTCAACCATGAAAGATCATGTTTATTCCTATGCACAAGTGCTTACAGTATTATATCTTTGACCTATCAGACTCCCTTTGCATAAACAAGGACAGAAATCAACAGATTCATATGCAGGCATGGGCTTGGGTTACTAGAAAAGTGCCTGTGGTGGTTGGATAGCACAACCACAGTTTGGGGGAAAAAATTATGTGGACACTCCTCTAGTCTTCCTTCATTAGGCTTTCTTTTATTCTTCAGTGCAAACCACAGGTGCATGGATCTGAGACACGGTTTTGCCAACAGCCAAGCTATGTTTCATTTTCAACATCAAAGGAACTCAAATTTTACTGTCATTTATCTGCACTGCCCTTCCAATCCCTCTGAAAGACCGCAGACGTACCTGAATAAGCACAAGGACATCATCAAAGAGCAAGATTCGGTCTGAGCGATTTGTGCTGGCAGAAATGGGAAGATTTTTGCTATCTTCCAGCAGCCTTCTTTCAGGTACACAGAGCATGTCCTGCAGAGGAAACCACAGAGGTCAGGATGGAGCACCAAAAGCATCAGGAAACACTAGGATTTGGGAAAGGACAAATCAAGCCAACAGTTCCCTGCAGAAGCCATCTGACTAGTGGCACAAGCTGACAGTAACAGCATAACTGGACACAGCACTCAACTTCTAAAGCACCCAGTGACCATAACGTTTCTCCAAAGCTTCCACACTGCCCTGCTCTGTTGGCTTCAAACCAAGCCTCAAATTCTTGATCTGTATTAAATTTTCTCCATTGGTAACTAGAAGACCTCTAAAAGTGCTCCCCATCAAATCACTTTCTACATCCACAACTCACTGTGAATTTGTAGCCCAAGGATTTCCATAAGGACTTCGTAAAACAAGCTTCATCCAGGACTTGGCTGATGAAAGACTCAAGCTTCATGTATTCCTTGATTGCACTGGTAACCACGTCCTTTTCAGAGCCCTAATGAAAGAAAGGAGGGCTTGAGCAATGCTTCAGGCACAGCTCTGCAGGACATTACTCTCTGGGCTACAGATGCAGAACAACTTCAGCAGCTCTGAATCTAAGGGGTTAATGAGAGTTTATTATCCAACCCCTCCCCCCGAACCTAGCCTGGGAAAGCCTCCCAAACCTAGCATTATCTCTGCCACCAGCAGAAGTGTGCAATCTTAAGGCCAGTTACTTGACCCTTTGCAGCTTCTTTGTATGATGAGTAGCTTGTACTATGCTGGAGCGGCCACTTTTTGTTCGAGACCTTCAGGTGAGCTGCACTCCACTGGTGCTGATTACTACCACCACAGATGCCCACTGGAAATAATTTTCCTTCCAGCCTGCTTTGGATTCACAGACACCACCACCAAGCCCCCCAAGCCCTGCATAAGATGTCAGCATAAGCCAGTCAAGTAACATCATGTAGAAGCTTCCTACCTCTTTGAGAACCTCATTCAGCTTGGTAAGGAGCAGTATATATTGCATAATATGATCTCGGATAGGTTTGTGAAGAACAGTGTATAAGGCCAGTGACATTGAGGTCTCGGAGGTGAAGTCTGTGAGGAATTGTTTCAGCACTGTCTTATGGTGCTTCCAGGCTTCACTGTGAGATAGTGAATTAAGGCAAAGGTTCATTAAATACTTTTTCTGCAAATTGACACTCCTTTGCCTCCCAAACTTTATATGCCATCTTACTCCCAGAGAGGGTATAGAAAGACTTGAGAGAGCAGGAGATAACATAGTACAAATATATTCATAAACCAAACATACAGAAATGAGGCAAACGAGCACCATCCATCCTGCCTCTGGCTCAGAGATATTTGCAAATCGGAACCACCCCCACAGATATTCAGAATATAGCATGACTTTCACAATGGTTTGCACTTGAAGAGCGTGACTTAGATAAGGCAGCTTGTGAATCTGCTCACATCTAGCATTCATGTTTTCATTTGCTATTTCCATGAGACTCTTACAACATCTGGGACAAATCGTGGAAGTCTTCCAGATTCCCACATCATCCTTTCTCAGGTCCCACCCCTTACCTGAATTCTCCAAATTCCAAATTTATAGGTTTCCTCTCCTAAAAAAGGAGCTGGGCATGATTAGAAAGAGATTGGGAGAGATCTGTAGAGGAAACCTTCAAACAGCTACTGCCATGGTCTCAGAAGATGGCAGAAGCAACCAGAATGGCCAGTTCAGAGCAGAGGCGCTGGACCATGAAGAGAGACCACTGCAAGGTACTGTTCAAGTTGCTGCTTGCTCCAGTTTAGTGTCTTAACCCTACAATATCATTGTGTTCCCATCAGCCCCTTCAACAAGCATTTTTCAGCGCACTGACCTTTTGCTCTTTGTGGCATGTTCAAAGCCATGGACTACAACATAGTTTGCAAAAGTGACAAAATATCTGTTGGCAAGAAAAAAAACACAACAAACACACAGAAGCATGAGTTGAGTTAGAAGTGCACATTAGCTAAAAGGTTTAAGGGATAAATGGAAGAAGCTGATTTGAATATGTCAGGTCAGGTCCACCTTTCCAAGGAAGGCAGAAAGAGACGTAGCTACCATACTTCTCACTTTGGCTGACTCCCCTTTTGCCTCCTTTACCAGCTCCTTGGTGTAACTGCCTGGTTGATTTTTGCAATGCAGGAAGTTTAAATCATCCTGGCATTTAGCAGAAGCAGAAGTAAGCTTACACAACTGCCCTGGAAAACAAATCTGCAAAGGCTGAGCACAAGATCAGAGTCGGATGTATGAATTTCCACTGGTTGAAGTAAAAGTAGCAGGCCTGTATTACCGATGGTAAATTCAAGTCAAGGTGTCCCACGCCAATGTATCTCATCTCACACTAGGGGGAGATCGAGCCATATTTTGTCAGCAAATACACCTTCTCCCAGTAGTGTTTCCAGGTAAGTTATGAAAATGTCCAGACTAATTATCATTATTTACATTTTTTAGGGACATGTATTTGATGCTGATTTTCAGGCCCATGAACATCAGCTTTGCTTTGTTCTATATTACTCCAATAAGCATGAGACATTGTTAGGATCAGGACCGCACAGTGAGTCACCAAAGGTGCGCAGGAACCAGCCATTTCTTTGCATGACACCCAACAAAAACAGGTTTTAATTTCGAAGTGAAGGAAAATTAGATCTTAAGATAAACTTTTCCTTTATGTCATCTGAAACCTCTGCATAAGTTTTCATCTTTCACATGCCTAAAGCAAACCAGTTTTAATTCACTGAATCAGTTCCCAAACAAACAACACGCACTGCTCCAAACCCCATTCATATAAAGGCAAAACTTGTTGTACCTCACTTTTTTAAAAGGATGCTAAGTAAAAACAAAATAAAAAGGAGTCCTTCCTTCCTCCTCCCTCCACATGCATAAAACCATCAAAACCAAAACTAGATGAACAGCAACACCCAGTATGCCCATCTCCTATGTGCGGGTGCCAAACTACACAGATGATACAAGCCCATCTGTCAAAGGCTTGGCCACATTTATGGTCAACATGATGAATGAAGGACTGAATACTGTCTGATCTTTATGTCATCTCAGATGTCCATGAACTCTAGCTTTGTCTCTAGGACATCAACACAGGTTATACACACTGCAGTGCTTTTGGTAAACATTTTATTTTGCATTGCAGACAGATGGGAAGCAAATGTAGTTAATTACAGAACCAGCAATGGGGCAGTATGTTTTTCACATCATCCTACATCCATCACTTGCTCATATAGATCATATCCCTAGCAAAACGCATAAAAATGTGGCACAAACACAAAATAGGAACTGTGCCTAGTGACATCTTCTCTCCACATCCCCGTTGAGTCCTTTAAACACACTTTTCTGTTCCCTGATGACACCTCAGGCTTCACTTTCGTAAATTACCCAGACACAAATTCTACCCCCTATCTTCTTCCCATTTTTGAGATGCATTATAAAACCCTATACTTGTAAGAAAATATTCTTTTATAAGCATTGTCCTGGTTTCAAGCATTCTCACAGCTACAAAAAGGGCTACTTATGCTGTCTGCACAGTACTTGCCATGAGCAGTGAATGCAACCACTTCCCTGACCTAATGACTGAACACTAGTGGACAGGACTGAACAAACTAAATGCACAAATTAATTGTACCAACATGCAAGTTGATAAATTTGGTAATTTGGTCCCTTCAAATACTGAAAATGCTTCTATACTTACTGGATGTACAGGTTTAGAAACAGGTCTCCTTTCCAGACAGTGTAAACGTCCTGGATGCAGAATGACTCAGAGGTGCTGCATTTTTGTTTCAGAATCCGGTAATTTTCTTCTGTAAGGTTCCAGAGAGCTTGAAATCGGTCATTCAGGAGTAGAAAGAGCTTTAAGTTCTCCTTTCCCTTCTGGTCAGTAGGCTCTTTGACAAAAAGATGGTGGAAAAAGGCTCTCAGAAACCCCTGACTGCAAGAAATCTTGTGGAAAACATTGCCTACATCTAATACTCACACCAATTTTTTAGGGTGAAGCACATACATTCTTGTAGGAAAACAATGACAGGGAGGAAGGAGATGATGATTATTTAGGGTTGTGTCCCTGTGAGTAATTGCATGGGCTATATGTGCTAAGGCTTTGTCCTTCACGTTCTTGTAGGGCATGTGGTCAGGGCAGCCATAGAGGCTCTGCCCCAGCTCATACTTGAGCACCAGAAGAAAATTTTCTGCCCCTGGCCTGAAGGGCTGTTCCAAGTATCCTTGGAGGCTAGACCAAAAAGGCAGTGATGTAAGAGGGAACCACCCTATGGGCTTAATCCAGTCACACCGCTTTTGGCCAGACAGGCTTGTGAATATTTATATGAATTTGTTATTTCAGTGCAGCTGCTCTGATTTACTGCCAGCTCAGAACCTGCACCCACAAATTCTACCTTCAAAGACAGGCATGACCATGGACCAAGAGCAGGGAAGCGGAATGGGCATGGATTAGAGGTTGCATGCAAGATGCAGTTTGGATTTTTACTCACTATGTTGGAAACAAGCCTCAGAACAGGTTGATACTGGTTAGAATCTGGATCAACCTCTAAATTAACAGGAACCACAGTCCTAGGCTTGAACCTAAGGAGGCCATAGGCATCCTTAAGAGCTTACCATCTTAAATGAAAGATCTTTACATACCACATACTCTAGCAAACCAGCCTCCAGCAAGTCCTCAGCTCTTGAGTTTTAATTATAAACCCCTTCATAGGTGTGCCAGTGACTCAAGGCTAGAACTACAGACAAAGAAGTAGTCTTCTCTGACGTACCTGCCTGGAGCAGAGGCTTGAGGATGAGAGCATCTATCCGTGCCAGGCATGCCGAGAAGGTTTCCTCCACTTGGAGCAGAGATGCAGTTGCTTCAGCTGTGCACATGTCCTGGACACCACACAGAAAATACACATAAACTCCCTAGCAAGAGAATCCATCTAACAAGGCTTCAGCACTCACTGCAAACAACCAGCCTTTCCTGCTCTTGACAGCACACACAGGTGTAATTGCTGTCCCCAAAGCATTTGAAAATGTTGAAAGAAGAAACAGAAATCAAGCAGCTCAACATAAGCCAGTGTCACAGAAGACAACAGAGGCAACAGCCCATTTTCCTGATGCCCCAAATTGAAGATCTTCTCAGGTGGGCCGCATTCCCCCTTCCATATGAGTGGAAAAGGCCCTAAACTTCTTGATATGTGTTAATCCTGCGCAGTGCCAGATTCATTCTCCCAGGAAAAAAAAAAAAATAAAAAATCCCTGAACTACAAGGCAGTAAAGGATGAAGCACAGCATCTCTTCCTGTATTCCTCACCAGTTTTTTGCTCCAGTGCCTCTGCCCACATCTTTTGGCACTAAAAGCTATAGTATGGAGCTGCAGATCTGTGCCAGCCATGCCTACACATTCAGCCCTCCAGAGGAACACGGGTCTGGTGTTACTCCTTTCCAAGTAAGATACTGCACTGCTGATTGTATGTCACAAATACTGCGTCAAGGAAAGCTTGCCTAAAGTGGAAGTGGGCAGCACTTAACAAAAAAGGCAGCAAACCCATATGAGCAAACTCCAGTAGCTTCCTCCTTCCACGCCCTACCTCCCGAAAGAAATTTATCAGAGGAAATGAACACAGCCAGCTAATAACATGTCATAAGAGGCTGCTCTGAAAAAAGGCCAAGTGGCAGAGATACTATGGGCAGAATCAGTTGATTCCAATTTCTGAATTACCATCATTACTAATGGCAATAAAAATACAAGCCTCTGAGATTCTTTTAACTTTGTGAAGCAAACCAGAAAACTCAAGAGACTGAGTATGGATTGTCTGCATTTATCCTGTCTCTACCCTGGTTATAGTGCACACTTAAAGGGTATGTTCACAATAGTAAGCAAACGAGGATACGACACAAAGATTTACGCTGCTAAATTAGTAGCAGAGAATTTGGCACAGTTTTGGTGTCTGCCAACTAGTGCCTCTCCCAGAATTGCCAGGGTACAGTCCAGGGACTAATTGAAACAGGTAGCTTGCACACAGTCGTGCTGGTTTGGGAGGTAAGAAGAAGTTAGCTATGTACAGCTTATGCAATAACTACTTAGCTATGGGATAGACTGCATTTATTTACTAATGGAGATTTAACTATAGTCTTTAGATTGTTTCCAGGAATAGCTGAACTGAAGCTATCTGCTTGTGGTGTACTCTAAAGATATCTTGAACCTCTACCCAATTACTACAAACAATAGATGAGATTCATTCTCCTTATGTTGAAATTTTGGGAAGTTTGATGTAGAAGCCTTAGTACTTTGTACTTTAACGGAAGAAATACCTCAAGCATCTCAGCACGGACTGTCCAAAAGTCACCTGGGTGGGGTGACTAAATTGGGTGGGAACGTCTCATTTTTAAGGTTCACATGTGGGTGGGTTCCTTGCTAAATAAGAGATTGAGCTCCCTAAAGTCACCAAATTCTGCTTAGGAACTCCCTTTCCAGGTCATCCTGAGCTTGGGCTGAAACTATGTCACAGAGCAACGAACACTTTGCAGTTTAACAGCTAGCTGGCGTGGTTTTAAGTGGTTGTTCAGAACCAGACAAAACTGACTGCAGATGAATGACAATGTTTTCTCTTTAGTAACCACTGCCTCTTAAATTCTGTCTGAAAAATGGGAAGCATTAAAAAATTCCATAATCTTACTAGTTTGCAAATTTTCATACACCAAGGTCTGCATGATCATAAGGCTATTTTTTTGCAGGAACACCAGCAATTCATCCCAGAGGAAAGCTGTACGCATGCAAACAGGACAAAAAGCTGGAATCCAAACTCCTACTGGCCCCTCCCAGTAAAGGCAACAGAGCCAGGGGAACAGCAAAACAAACCAGCAGGCAGGCATCGCTCACCCAAGTAGCAAGAGGACAGAACAGATCTAAAAGTTTATTTTTGCCATCACTTAATCCCCTGTCTTGTAGACACAAAGATAAAGTTATTTCTCACAGGTCCTAGAGAGCATTCAAACTTGTTAGACATTTTTAAGCGTAAGTAGCTTGCTTAATTAGTGAATAAAATTGGGATGGATGTGTGGCAGCGTTTAATTTTCAAATGG